CAGAACTCATGGACCAGGTTCCAATCAGAACCAGGAGGCCAAAGATAATCCAAGTGGAGATGGACCAATCAGGTGTATYGTTTGGAGACCCTGCTGGGCTCAGGTGAGACCCAGACTGAAGGTAGACCACCAAGGACGTCACATCAAACCAATCAGGACTTTACTGGACTCCTAAAAACAGGCCGAGCCAAATGGGTCAAAGTCCATCAAACCGTAGACCTCTGAGACCAAACCTGCCTCATCTGACACATAAAAAGWAGCTAAAATTATTCACACACAGCTCAAACACACAGCCGAAGGAGAACYAGCTGAAGGTCCACTCGTAGCCTAAATGAAATGAAATAAGTCAGCATCAAAGCCTTCAAGCTACCATTTTAAGACTTCTCTGGTCCCAGTTTTTGTTCTGAATTTATTAGATTTGACTTCTTCCWTCTCAAATAAAAACTCCACGTTTCCTGAGACTAAACGCCCGTTGAGTAAAAGTCAGCGGAGCCGACAGCGGAGACGAGCAGCTCCTTTTCATTTTTCTAATTAGACCTTTTAGGATTAAACTCTGTGGGGGAGGGAGGTGGAAACAAGCTGAGAACAGTAATTGGACTTTTAATTAGGTTTATAAACATTTAGTCCTGAAGTCAGAAACAGAAAACGCTCCAAATAGTTCTTTAATTTGAGTTTTCTCTTCAAAAGGACTTCCTGGAGCTTCTGAAAACAAGTTTTTTTACTTGTCAAAGAATAACTGAGGTTTGATTCATTATTTTTCTGTTGGAAGTTGACATAAAGTCATGATTTCTGTATTTTATCAGTGTTTCTGAAGGTTTCTGACCAGATTCTGAGCAGGAAAGGATCTGTTGTCACAGGATGCTCAGCCTCCTCTGCAGACTTTGACTCAAACATTCTGATTAAACCAGTTTGAAGGTGAAGAAAAATAAACTGAACCAGGAGAGCGCCACAAAAATCTGACAGTAACAAACAGATTAATAAATTTAAACTCTTTAAAGAAAAAAAACTTTATACTGGAAGAAATACCAACAAAACATCAAATAATGCTTTTAAATTTAAACAGAAATTTTTACAAAACAAACTAATTAAACTGGTCTTAATGTCTGTCTGTCTGTCTGTCTGTCTGTCTGTCTNTGATGAATGTTGACAGTCAGGTGTGTTAGTTTTGTAATTAGCTGTCAGCTCCAGACGACTGATGATCTAATTGGTTCCTCCGTTGTTTTGGATGTGTTAAAGCTGAACCAACTTAATCCCTCTGGGCTGAAACCACACGTCCCCCCTGAATGAAAGTTTATTTATTTATTTATTTATTTATTTATTTATTTATTTATTTATTAAAACCTGCTTCGCATTGCAACAGTTGGAGATAAAACCAGGAAATGATATTTCTACAGAAGCCCATTTTAAAACATTCAAGCAATGATTTTAATATATTTCATTAGAATCATGAATTGAAATCAAAAATAAATAATTTGTTTTTCCAAACACGATTTGACCGAAGTGGCAGTGATCTCAGGCGGGGTCTGGTTCTACAGACCCGGAGCTGAGCGGGTTCTGTGGTCCGGAAGCCCGCCGCCGCTCCTTTTTGGAGCGTTGCAGGATTTGAACCCCCCACTTCCTGTTTCCCTGCGGTGCTCAGCAGCCAGAGAGGCAAGGACGTGGCGTTTGTTCATCACCACCTGCACCGCCGCTTCGTCTTCATCAGGAACTCATTTCATTCTTCTGTGATGTAAAGAAAAGAACCGCGACTCGTTCTGATCCGGGACTTTTAGTTTTAGCTCTTAGTAAACTAAAATATCTTCAGTTTCTTTCCTGAGTTTTATAAAGTGCTTCTGCAAACTGTATTATTTCAACTGTAAATATATCAGAATACTTTTTATATAAATGTTATTATATTTTAGTTACAAACATTTTCAATGGAAAACCAATAAAATCTCTTAATTCTTTCAAAACATTTTATTTAAAACCTGCAGAGGCTGTTTTTCTCTTATTAGGCTACGTTCATATTTTAGCTACTGTCTTGCTAAATTTAGCTTTTAGCTGCAGTTTTGTTTTTAACTTAAGRCTGCAGTTATGCTACATTTAGCTGTTTTTAGCTGTTTTCTGTTCTGACAAACTTGAATTTTGACTGGTTTTTCCTCAGTTAGCTTTTAGCTGCAGGTTTTCCTCATTAAGCTTTTAGGTTTTGCTGCTTCTGGTTGTGACTGTGGTAAGTTTAGGTTTTACCTACTGATTAGCTTTTGGCTTTGGTTTTGCAAAAAAAAAATTAGCTGCAGTTTTGCTGCATTTAGCGTTTAGCTACAATTTTGCTACATTTGAATGTGGTTTRGCCTTAATTAGCTTTTAGCTGAAGATTTGGTGAGTTTAGGTTAGGAGTTGGCTCTAATCTTCTTAATTTAAGTTTTTAGCTGCAGTTTTGCTGTATTGAGCTTTTAGCTGTGGTGTTGCTGATWTAGCTTCAAAGCTACTAATTAGAGCTTTTTGCCACAGCTGTGCTAATTTTTATACACAAATTCTCTAATTTAGCATTTAGCTAATGTTATGCTAAATTAAYCTTTTAGCTACTTTTACATATTCTACTCAGTTTGAACCTGAATAAKTCGAGGGTTTGCAGAAAAYGCAGATTCTGTTTTTTAACTTTAGYGTCRACAAATAAAACCAGAACAAAGGTTTYATTTTATTACTTTCAGTGAGTTTAAACATTTTATTTTAACAGGATAAAAACAAGTTTCCATGGTAACTTCTGAACTTGGCCCCCTGCACTGTTGCTCGTGTGTATCTTTGATTTGATTTGATTTATTTATTTAACAGGAAAAGATYATTAAAAATCAAGCCTGACTCAGCATAATTGCTGTTTTACAGCA